GGACAAATACTGGCTGTTGTGGGGATCTGTCACGTGACCTTTCAGTAACAGAATGTATATTTTAATGATTCCCTTGCTGTCATTAGCTGCAGTGCACAGAAACAATGGATAAATGTTTCTGTGTATGTCCTCTGATGTCCACTGGGAAAACAGGAAGCCTGTTTTCTAAATTACTTTCTGCTCTGCTCTGTTATTTTTTTTAAACTACACAGTGAAATTATCTTCCATGTTTGGACTGACCTTCAAAAATGGGTTTGTAGAGACTCTCGAGAGATCTGCTACCCTACATCTTTGATCAAAAATAAGATGATATTAAATGAAAACTTGGGTAGATATACAAGAAAATAAAAGGCCAGGAGACACTACAGCATGACATACAAATTTATACTTTCCATGTCTGTAAAAATACTTGATATTAAGGACTGTATGGAGGGATGCTGACTTCCAGGTAATGTGCTGAACACTGGTTGTGTGGTCAAGTACAACGGAACACCAAGAGAAATCCAATCAAACCCAAACCAACTCTGGTTTATTGCAGTCTTTGTGTGATAGGGCTAATATGTATAGGTGGTAGCTGTAATGGAAGATGACAACAATTGAAGCTGTTTTTTAAAAATTTGAATTGAAAAAATAAACCATTCGTTAACTCACTATACATTAAACTTAATACAATGATTACAAAATATCTAAGGTTATTTAGTGTAACACAATGTACAACAACTACCATCATTCTAGTTCAATAATGTAGCATCTCAAGCAAAAATACTCCAACAATTTAAACTCAGCCAAAGTGTTTCAAGGAGAGAGACAGTGTTCACACCTGAACTCAATCATGTATATAAGCTGTGATGAAGCCAGGCTCCTCCTCCTTCCTTCTCCTCTACAGAAAACTCCTCCTCCAGACTTGCTCCACACAAAAATCATAAATGGTTGTTATCAGTTTTCTGTACTGTCTTCCTTTTCAGGAAGTTCCAGAAGCCTGGACACTGTCCCAGCATGCACTGAGCAGGAAGAGGGGGAGACACTACATTTCACATCACGTATTTAGTGATTAATACATTTGCATATTGTTGTATGCAATTTGACTGTGGAGTGTAACATTTTGATCTACTACATAACTTCACAATAATTCTGCCCCTGGTAAACAGAGCATCCCCAGCAGTTCTTTATATATGGAACATTTTTATTACCTCAGGCCAACCACTGATGCCAACTGCACCAGGCTATTGAACAGCTGATCACGAGCACACCCACAAACAAGGTGCATTTATAGGAGCATACAATATAGCATTTTTTTTTTTTTTTTTTTAAGAAGAAGTGTTATTCAGACATTTGTAGCTATTTCTGGGTATTGCAATTAGAAGTTATGATTAAAATTGTAGAGATACAAATGCAGGATTAACACTAAAACCACATTAAAACAAATGATTTTCCCCTATTTTGACAAGGCTTTGACACTTCTCTCTGTCATGCCAGTTGATCAGAACATTGAAAACAACAGTGACTTAAAGTGGCTGCTGACGTGACAGTGACTTAGGGGCTGTTTCAGCATACAGTAAAGAGGTGATGTGAATACATAACAAGGTCTTTGGACAGACAGAAGTTGCTAAGCCAAGCATATACTGCCATTAGAACAGTTCTGTGGAGTGAAACCTGAAGGGATCTGTCCCAAGGTCAGAAAGAGTGCTGAGACTGGACACTTTGACTGCGTTGGCTTGCATCAGTATCTATATCAATATCGCACAGAGCTCCTTCTATGTTTGACCTCTAAAACACTGTTTCAGCCTTGGATCAGATGAGACGTTCCAAACTAATACCTTAAACCCCATTTGATCCAACATTATGTACCTAATAACATTTTTTTTTTTTTTACAAAAAACAAACAAACAAAAAAAAAAAATTACAAATATGTATGTATAATAATATGACATTATTGAAGAAAGATACATTTTGCTATAGCCTAACATTGAAAAACATATCCCAAAAATTACAAAGTCATGTTCAAACAGATTCATAGATTGAAATGTATTTTTGTTGTTTAACTGGCACATTTACTTACAAAATAGCATGAACTTAATCACATGTGATAAATTAAAGACAAGTCTACAGCCATGTTAGCATAGTGGTGATTTGAGCTAAATGCTAACACTGGCAAGTTAACAAACTTAGCCTATTATGACAGTACTAACATGCAAACATGTTAAGTATGGTATAATGTTTACCATTTTCGTTTAGCATGTTAGCATGCTAATAGTTGCATATTAGTGGTAAACACAAAGTACAGCTGAGGCTGATGATTGGATTGTCATGTATTTGGTCATAAACCAAATTATTTTGATCTCATGATGGCACCAGATGAAAAGTTCACCAAAGTTAAATGGCAACAATAGTTGTTGAAACCTCTTGGTGGTGATAGATGAGTATGAGGATCAGTAAAGTCATAAGGATTCATCATCTGTGGACCATGAATGTCTGGACAAAATTTCATGGCAATCCATCCAGAAGTTGTTGAGAATTTTCAGTTAAGAACATTGTTACCATCATTCATATTCCTTGTTTTGATCTTCTGGTTCAAGCTGCACATTTTAAATCTTAAAGAGGAAGAGATCTGTACTAGAAGGAAAGTAATTGGGGTTGAATGAGGTTGGCAATGGTTAACATCATCTTTTCGTGACCAGTAAGTGCTATAGTACATCCAGTTTCTATTTCATTTCTGCATCTATTTTTATTCCCCTCTCTCCTACTAATGATGCACCCTCCTGAACCCCTTGCTGCTTGATGGTTTTCATGTTTCCAGCTGAGCTGATGCACAGCCATTCAAAATATCAGCTTCATACTAGTAAAATATACAGAAAAAATAGTAAAACGGATTTCAGCTCATGAAACTTTGATCAGAATTGAAGACACAACATTTTAATTTGAAATGAGCACGTTGTTGTTCTTCCGGTCAATTTTACATTTTTCTGCTTTTACCCTCCGCTCTTATCTTTTTCCTCTGCTATCAGGCTTTTCAGATCTGATAACATTTCACCTTCATCACCCCTTCGCTCCATTTACTCTTTTCTCTGGTTTGGGCAGAGCAAATTCTAATGATGGGACCTATGGTCATGGCTACTTTACAGATTGGTTCAGAGCAGCTGGAACTGAGCTCCTCTCCACCTTGACCTCTGACAGGGAAATGACATCCTCCACACTTTCTACACTCCACATTTCAAGCTCTGCCAAAAAATCTGCCACCAAACAGCCAGCGGCCCTGTGAGGGAGTGGAAAATTGTGGCTGACTTTAAATCCACTGTGGCATCCGGATAATAGCCTATTATGTCTCAGGTTTCGGATAAAACCTTGAAAATTGCCTCATGACACTGTAGAAAAATGACAGGGAGTAAACAAACAAACCAGCAAGTACATATACACACAGACTGCAGAAGTCACTGGACTGTAAGTGTGGGGAGGTACTGATGGCAGGTGTGATTTGGCTTTACATTAGTCACCATGTTATAAAAATATGGCAGTTTGATAGGATATGACTTTAAATGACGCGGATTACATTTGATGGTGGTAGAAATACGTTTTCTTTTGATAAGAAAATGTATTTCGTTTGGTGTTTCTTCGGTGAGGAAAAGGTTGTAAAAGCACAACAGTGTTGTGTGAAAGCCTTGTTCACAGTAAATGAGCTTCCAATAAGCCCTGTGGCCTCTCCTCCCCCAATGTTCCTCCACTAATCATTGCCTGACTGTCATGGTGGTTTTCTTGGTGGCCCGCGCGGCTGCCTGGTGAGAGGTCAGGTTGGATTAGAAAGCACCCTGTGTGATATAGGTTACTGCACTGTGCTACTCGCAGGGTGCTGGGGTGTGGGGGTGGAGCATGCATGCACACAAACACACACACACACACACACACACACACACACACACACACACACACACACACACACACACACACACACACACACAGAAACGCACACGGACTCAAGTCACACCAGTGACAGAACTGTAGTGCATAAATTTAATCATGACACATTTTATTAGTTTCCTTGCATCATTAGCTGAAGTCGCCTGCATCACTTCAGATCTTCTGAAGGATCTTGACATCAATAATAAATATAGGTTCACCACTGAAAATGTCTAATAATCATGTTTTATGTACTAAACTTAAAACCTTTGCATGCATATACTGTACCTTTATTTCAGCATGAAGTGGGAACCGGCCCTCTTTCCTCATCGCCATGATCATGCGTTACACACAACCTGACACTACATCTGTTCTCCCCCCAGGAGAGCATTTTATCTGCTTATTACATTAAACAAATATAGATTTGGCCATTGGAGGGCACTGCAATGCAGAATCTCTCTCATTTGAGATTCAGGCTCAGCTGAAACGAGTCTACTTATCAGTCAATATTAACTGCAAATCAATATATTTTCCATGAATTAAAAAAAAACGTGTTCCTCTTGATGACGTAAGACTCATCTGGGATTTTTGGAGGCTTTTCTATTTGAGTCTCATTTCAGTTTGTGTGTCTCATGCTGGTTTTTGTGGTGACAGAAAAACTATGTCTGTAACTATGGCAGCCAAAGAGAGAAATAAAAAGTCTCGTTTTCTGACTTTGTACTAACAAAAAAAAAAAAAAAGAAAAGAAAAATCCAGCAATGACAATTATTTTGCTCTCCTTTACGAGAGCAAATACTGAGCCCCTTTGCCGCACACTTCATTAATATGACCCTGTTGTCGTGACATAAGGTCAGCATCTATCTTGCTTCATTAAGCCAGAGACAGATTTCATATGAGAAGTCTCGCAATGATAGTCAGGGGTCATTTTCCAAGCAGGTTTGTATGAATAATAAATGGCTGGTTTGGCACATTTGGAGAGGTCAAGCCTGAGTGGGAGAAACAGCTGTGTTGTTGTGTGTCACTGTAAAAACACAGATACATGCAATGAAGCTGCAGGCAAAATGAAAGAACTTACAATGTTCAGGGATTCAAATAAGTGTATTCATTTTTAATCACGTCAAATGGTGAAAAATCATTTGATCATTTATTTTTCTTTGCTTGTAAATTTCATAGACACACGGTCACATCACAAGTGACCCATTTACACACGCTACAGTCGGATGATGTGAAACATTAACATTTGTGGGAGGAGTGGCAGTGTCACATGACCATCTGGACAGGAACAGGAGTGTTTCACATATCCACTTATCTTCTCAAGAGCAAATCATAAGATTGAAATCTAATAAATACTTTATATATATATTTATATTCTATCTTCATATACATGCAATTTTTTTTAACATGCAAATAATCAAATTGATATTTACAAATGCTCTTTTATAGATCTGTGCATCTTCTGCTTGGTCGTTATGCAATCAGTCTTCGTGGATTTGTTTACACACCATTGATCACAACGGTTACATCTGCAATCCTGTATTAGTCTCTCAAGTGCCATTATCAATAAATTAAATATTTCAATACAAGATGCTATTTATCCATTCTATGTGAAGAAAGATTCAATTAAAATTGTCTCATACACAAATGATGAAAGATTTTTATGTGAAGATAAATGTAATAATAATAATACATAGTTTTACTTTCTTCTCGTTTTGTGTGGGCAAGATTCACATTTTTAAATATTCGCTTTGGAATCAAACGCTTTGAATGTAAGCTGATCAATAAAGAACTTGTGGGAGTGACGTGGGTTCGAGGTGGGGGGTTAATAATACAAGATGATTTCAAGGTAATCACAAGTATATGGACCAGTAAATTACATTAAAGAAGAGGAAAGAGAAGGGGAAGAGGGCTCGGGCATACAGGTCGACCCTTTTTGCAGCAGAGGGGATGACGGGTTTCGGAGGTGGAGGTTTCTTGTTGTTCTTGGCCTGGGATTTGCCAAGAGCGGCGCCGGTATCAATGGGCTTCCCGTAGCAGTCAAAGTTCGACAGCTCAAAGTCCCGCGGGAGCGAGCCCACGATGCTGAAGTCATTGGTGCGCAGATCTGATTTGGAGGTGCACACCTTCTTGCAGCGCGTCTCTGCCACCTGCGTGAAAGAAAACAACATGAGGTGAAAATAGGATTGATTATTCAATTCCACATCATTTCATTCCTAAATACACTTATCTGTGTGAAACCTACGAGCAAAGACAACATTTATACCAACAATCTGAAAGTGCTGCTGGCAGCCCCTGAGGCAGCGTAGCTAGACCAAAGTGCTTTAAAACTGACTGAGCAATAGACTACTACACAGGCCGTGGTTACACTCTCACAGAGGTACTACAAAAATCCTCCCATCCTTTAAACATTATATTCTTTAAAGAATCACAGTGATTAAATAAAGTGGGTCTTCACTTTGTCGTTACTCATTGCTGCTGTAAACTGACATACAGTACTGAGTGTGACTACAGGAAGAATTATGTAAAATAAAATTGGTAGATGCAAACTTCAAACAATGGAAAGAGGCATGGTACACCACCAATGCATGCAAGGTTTCTTCTTACATAAAATATGTAACACACACAATAAAAAAGTCAATCGTTCAATCAATCATTCCAGTTAGTACATTCAAACTGTCGATGGGACCTGAGTGCCGCTTCTTTAAATAAGCTGACCACCATCCTGCATCTCAGAATAGAAAAGTTGGCATTTATTTCTGGAACTCACATCACACCCATTTACTTTTATCTATCTGTCTCTTCCACAGGTTTATTTGTGTGTCTTCACTGGCTTCAGAAAGCATTCAGACCCCGTCCCTGCACATTTTATTGTGTTGTAGATTTAATTTTAAAAAGGATAAAACTGCATTTTCTGCTCATCAATCTATTCTCCATGTTCCATAATAACAAAGTGAAAACATGTTTTTAGAAATCTTTGCAAATGTAGCAAAAATCTAAAACTGAAATCTCTCATTTACAAAAAGCATTAAGAGCCTTAATTCAGTACTTTGTAGAAGCTCCTTTGGCAGCAATCACAGCTTCAAGTCTTCTTGGGGAAGTCTCTACAAGCTTTGCACACCTGGATTTGAGCAGTTTATCCCTGGTAGATCCTCTCAGGCTCCGTCAGATTGGATGAGAAGCATCTGTGAGCTTCAGGCCCCTCCACAGATATCGTGTGGGGAACTTAAACTGGGCCACTTAACAACAACAGTCAGAGACTTGTCCTGAAGACAAGCCGCGTGCTTCAGGTCAATGTCGTTCTGAAAGGTGAACCGTCGCCCAGGTCTCCGGTCATGTGAACTTTTTTTCTTCAAGGATCTCTCTGTATTTGGCTGCATTCATCCTTCCCTCTATTCTGACCAGTCTCCCTGTCCCTGCTGCTGAGAAATATTTCTTCCTCATGCTCACAGAGTCCATAAATTGCTGTATGACAAACTCCAAACTGGTTGTTTGTCTTTTACTCAAAGTGGCTTTTGTCTACCCCTTCTAAGATAAAAGGTATTATTGATGCAGAGCTGCTGAGATGGCCGTCCATCCAGCAAGTTCTACCATCAGATGACTTCAGAGGATGTCTGAAGCTCTGTTAGAGTGACGCCGCCATGAACAAGGCCCTTCTTTCCCAGTTACTCTGAGTGGCTGGACGGCCAACTCTAGGAAGAGTCCTGGTGGTTCCAAACTTCTTCCATTTCACAGTTATCAAAGCCACTGTGCTTCTGTAAACACTCAAAGCTTTAGAAATGGCTTTGTGCCTTTGCCCTGACCGAGAGGTCTGCAGAGATTTCTTGGACTGCGTGGCTTGGTTTTTGTCCCGACATTACAGTGAGAATTGTGGGACCTTCTATACACAGGTGTGTGCCTTTCTAAGTCCAATAAATTCAATTTGCCACAGGTGGACAATGAAGTCCTAGACACATCTCAAGTATAATTTCAGCAAACAGGACCACCCGACCACTACTTATTGAGTGTAGATTGATGGGCAAAAATGGCTATTTTATCCATTTAAAATTAAATCTACAACACAATACAGTAGGCGAAAAAGTAAAGGGGTCTGAATACTGTATCTACTGTGTGTGTACTGTACTGTATGTACGTACTGGATGCAGAGATGTATAGACACATAGATACAAACGACTGCAACAGATGGCACAGGCAGCCACTGCTGACTGAGCTCTTTCTTACCCACAACCATCTGGCCGACAGTCTGTATGTCCATCTACTTATTTACTATTAATCAATTTTTCAATCTTTTTGTCAAATACACATTTAAAATGTGCTGTAAAAAGCACAAAACTACCTTGTAAACAACATAAACTGTTTATCTGACAAGATAAATAGTATTTTATCAGACTTCCCATCTACCACAATACAAAATGTGGCCTAGTTTGTCCTTTTTTAACATCCATGTCCATCTTTATAGATCCTTTGCCTGCAGACCAAACTGCACAAATCATCATGTAGACATATTTCTTGACTAAATCTGAGGCAAAGCTCCACTGACTATTGTTTGACACATAAAAACTGTTGTGAGCACACACACAGTAGCAATGATGTCTCTTGGACATCACATCCATGCTTGCAGGTAGTTTTCATCTAAGCTGAGAGGAAGGTTTAAATGAGGTTGTTTAGGATTGCTGGACTCGTTTGAAAACAGACTAGACTTTGAAAACCAAGTGAGGGAGCTGTTTGATCCTGAAGCTTGGACAGAACTCATGCTGATAAATCACAACTACTGTTATTTTAAGAAAAAAAAAAAAAAAAAGATCTTTACAGCCAAAATTAGATTCACTTTGTGCTCTCAAACATTGCCTAATATGGTTGCTCTCCCATCTGGGGTTTTGTAACCCCAATACACCCTCTACATGCCATCTCAGCGAACAACCGGTGCTTATAAAAAACATTGTGCAATAGGATGTAGTTTAATGTCATCCAAAAAAATCCCTTTCATCAACTTCCCTGAAGGCCTGCGGGGTGAACAGGATCTAATCAGACTATGGATGCTTACTCACTGAAGTCATTAAGCTCATTAAAGCTTCATTATTTTGATTTGGTTTTGACAAGAAAACCTATTAAACCTCAATGGAATAATGTAATCCTCTCAAACCAAATGTGGTCAGGACTAACGGAGACACAGAGGTAAATTAATTTCAATTAGGCGTACAATTGGAAGACCCGCACCGCATACCACATGCCTGATGTGCATGTGACTGTCAGACTTGAGTCCTGACTGAGCTGTGTGTTAGAAACATTGCCAATTTGTAATGATTTGAATTCCCCGTTTTGCATTTAGATTAGATCTCTATGCCTCACTGTTACAAACCTGCCTGAGGATGTTGGATCGGATCTGGAATATGCACTGTGACATTGCACCGTTTGTTACTGTAGGACTGCATAGAATCAGAAACATAAACACACCCGGACTCATAGCAACCACATGCACCACGATTGCAATGTTTTGGTGATTCACTACAGCATCAATACCCAAGGGGACATTATTTATACTTGGTTAATGAATAGGATTGTTATCAATTACATAGCCTATTCAAATCATATGCATACACAAGACTCAATGTTCCCACTAGGAAAAATGCAGTTGAAGTCAAGTCAGAAATACAAGCAGGAATATCAGGCAAGATTTCGTATCATCAAGATAAGTGAGAAGCAGAAACCTGATCACATAAACTACCCTTGATCTTGTCTCCATGGATAATTTACGGTCATCTATCCCCACTGTAGAGCTCTTGGCTGTTTTTTCTTGAGTTTAGATTCCCACAGTTTGAAATTATTTGAGTTTTTACCTGTGTGTCCACAGATTTTCAACACAAAGTAAATATTTGTATATGAATGGATAGGGGAGAGTGTCATTGTCCCAGGGAGCCATGTTGATGTGACATTCTACTGTTAAAAAATATATGATAGTGTGCAACAAAAATGTGTTTTCATTTGAATTATTTGAATTTGGGATTAATATGTTCTGGGTTTTGGCACCACAACACCATCATGTTTTGGGTGTATATAATAAGATGTAATAGCTGCTGGTCAACCTGATCCCCATAGTTTGTCTGTTGCACTAAGTCATGCTTTGTGCAACAGTGAAGGTGCATATGACAATCACCAGAAGAGGAAAATGTCCAAATTGTTTAAGTTTAAGATTTTTTTGTTGCTTTTTTTTTTTTTTTTTTAGATAGCAACAGTTTAAATACAAACAAAAAGCAAAAGAAGCAGAAGAGGGGTATGGCATGCAAGAAAGTTACTAGGGTAGAATCCTAACATCATATTGCAGTTATATAGTATGCATCTTAACCAATAGACCAACAGGATACCACTAAAATGTCTAAATTGTTGATGATCAGTACATCTGATCTGGATTTTTACTATCAGTGGATATCAGAAATACTACTATCACTAGAAAGAATACATTTTCCTGATTCCAGCATTGTGTGTCTGAAGCCTGCACATTGTAATTTGACTGAGTAAGGATATAAAATAACTTTTGTAATCTTTTGTAATGAATGATGACAGACACACACACACACACACACACACACACACACACACACACACACACACACACACACACACACACACACACACAAGTTGTCAAATCAGATCCACTGACGTGCAAGGTGCTGACATGAAGCGGCGTCCCTCCGGTGCCGTTGACCGTGTTGTTTTTGGCAGCGGGGCTCTTTCCCGCAGCCTTCTCCTTAGATGCTATCTTGGCCTTCTCGGCCTCGATGCGCTTCGGGCTGTTGAGCATCACTTGAACCACAGCGTACTCCACCAGCGAGGCGAAACCAAACAGCAGGCAAGCAATGAGCCAGATGTCGATGGCCTTGACGTAGGACACCTTGGGAAGCTCCGAAGCCAACGAGGTGCACTCAGAGGACAGAGAGAGCACCGAGAGGATTCCTAGAAAGAGAGGCAAGACAGGTGACCTTGTCAATCAGCAAAGTGAGAGAAAGTTGAATCTATGAGCATCACAACTGTATCTTTTCAACTGTGAATGATGAATTTTTCTCACTTATGCACTTCCTGTCATTCCATTCTATATTGTGCAATCCCAGTATTATTTTTCATACTATAACCACTACAGCTTTTCTTACAAAATGCCTCTTTCATTTACTAAAAAAGCTCAAATGTAATTTTTTAAACACATGTAGCCATATAAGGGCTTTGCCTAAATAAATGGCATCTTTTATTACCAGTTCTTAGAATCTGTTTCTGTAGACACATTTTGGTAAGTGCCAAAAAAGTATTGAGGATTGTTTCCCTGCTCTGTTAATAATGTGATGTGTGAGTGTAATTCAGATCAAAATGCATCACTGACATACGAAATCTGCTTCCACTAGGGAAAAACACATGATCCACCTAATTCTGAGAGAAAAAATGATGTATTTCCTCTTCAGTGCACAAAATACTGAACAAATTAATCTCCTAATTTGCACAAAAGCTGTTATAAAATGCTCACATCAACACAAGGCTTCTGAAAAAATAACTGCAATTCGGATGCATGACCGTTCCTTTACCCCTTTTATTAGGACATCTCCAAGAGCTCAGGCAGCCTCTAATGACAGAGTAATTTTAAATTGTTTTTTATCTCTGATAGCCAACGGGATTACAGGTTAGAGACTCTCCCCCTGCACAGCAGCACTTGTCTCAGACTACAGCAGAAATAATTACAGCGACTCTGAAGAGTGTATTCTAACCACCAATAAAGGGGCTTCACTCCCCTTTTTCTCACAGTAATGCTACTTCAGAGAGAAAATAAATACATTAGAATGGCCGATGGGTTTTGCCTCTGGTATGGTCGCTTGTCAAAGACCGGTTCGCACAAGGTTCAGGATTTCTAATCAAACTTCTCCTCATAGTTTGCCTGTTTAGTCTCTGACACATTTAGCTGTGTGTGCAAACATAAATCAGGTCTTTATATCAGACAGAAACAGATGAACAACTTATGTGTATATATATATATATATATATATATATATATATATAAAAAACAGTTTTTTTATTCTAACATGTTTTCATATTCCCTATGTGGAAAGAAAACGTGGTGTAAATCTGAAAATGCGTTCACAGTCAAAAGCACATATGGACGCATACACAAGTGCATATGGACACACTAAACACACGTAAATGCTAACACACACGCACACACACACACACACACACACAGCACAGAGCAATAAATGAGAGTAGTCCCACACCTGGGTGTTGACTGACCTGGACTGATCCCATTTAAAGAGAAGTCAGAGGAGGCTTCCATGTGGAGTTGGAGTGATGATGGGATGAAAGTGGTGATAAATAACTAGAGGGAGTATGGAGAAAAGGAGGAAGTGGATGACTGGAGTGGGATAAGAATGGATTATCTTATCCATGTAGCCCAGCACACACAGAGGTGCCTGTGTGATACTGTGTATGGGTGACACTGACATATTACACACAGGTTGAATTATGGAGAAGTAAAAAGTGAGAAGTACAATGGACATTTTTCCAACAAACACAAATGTTAATACTGTGTGTGCCAATTCTGTCATGTGCAAAGTTATCTTTCCCATACACACCACAGCCTGTATGCACGGGAAAGTTATTCATATGTATGAAGCAAAAACAAATATGTTCAGAATTGAGACCATGGCCACAAAATATCTGTCATTCCCATAAAATATTGTCCTTTCTAAAGAATATGATGGACAATTACAGACTGGGGCCTGTTGCAGGCTTTGACAATTTAATAGCACATTTTTTAATTTAGTTTTGTTTTTGTATTACAAAAGTGCATAGTATTTAGCACATACTTAAATATGTAAACAAATAACTGACAGTTTGTGCATCAGCTAAGGTCTGTCAACTAGAGACATAAAAATGAACAATTCTTTGTTGTCATTCACACTGTGTTCTCTGTAAAAAAATATATATTTTTAATTATAATTCCATGAGCAGGTGTCAAGTATCTAATTTTAGGACATAGCTTATCCAGCTTATTCATACATTTTATACTTAATTTGGTGACTTATAACAAATGAAAATATTCAGGGCCACACAAAGAAATTAAGAAAATGTTGGAACAATGAAGATGCGATGAGAAGAGCGTTCCTTTATGAGGTGCAGAAATGAACCTAGTTTAAGAGTTTTTCTCCCTTTTCCATCATGCAGGGGAAGGTGAAAGCAGGACTGTGCCAACAACCAGCACTGTAAGCACGAGGGACACATCTGGTTCTTGCCTGGGATTTATTCAGTGCATACAAAAACACAAACATAATTTAAGCACTACCAGTACTGAACCATTCTTGCGTCCCCCTTGGGGCTCAGACAAACAGTCTAGTAATGTAGCTGGACTTTCCTCAGGCCATAGACATTCTGTGCTCCCTGGTTTGGAAAAAACAGCACTGCTCCTCATGCGGCTCAGCACACCCCTTCGTTAATTGGGTTAATAGGGATCAGGTGTGCCTCGTTGGCCAGCTGAGTGTCTCCAGGTTCTCTCTGTCTCCTGAACAACCCTTGTTGCCCACACTCATGAGCAAAGATTAATCAGAAACTCAAGTCTATACTGGTTCCCCACCATCAACTAAGCTTTGTACCTGCATATTTTAAACTTCAGTTCAACTGAGCAGCAAAATTTACCAAATGTTGTTCAATTCTGGTACAAAATGTTTAAAAAGGCTAGATGTATAAAGACAAGAAAACTGAATCCACTGGAGTAATATTTTAGATTTCAGACATGTAGGTACATTTGATGGGACTGAGTGAGTTTGCAGATCAACGATAGACAAGGAAAGTAAAATTATCCTTGGGTTGAATCTTGGTCTCTCCACTGACTAAAAACCTCCAACTTTTTCATGGACCAAACTGAAAGAATTGTTGCACATAAACATGGGCTCAAATTCCTGACTCATACTCCCGTGTATTAGGACCTACATTAGATAAGTGCCGATTGCACCTAAATTACTACTGCCGTGGGTCCCATCTGTCAATTACAGCTATATTCAGTGATTTATCACATACAGACCAACACTGGACATGGTGGCATGCTTGATAGATAAAGTCCTTCATGGTGTCAAAGTGATTGATGATACCATGACGGAGATGGCCATAATGTCAGTGATCCCTAAAAACATATGAATCCTTCACAGAAGTTTTTATTTGATCTACTGCAGTCTTTTCCCCATTGCTTTTTATATGCAAGTTTTCACATCTAATTACCTCAACAACATACAAACCCTCACCCACTCCCCTTCTAAGCTAAAATAAGCTAAGATGCAACCATGCCCTGGTTAACCAGCACAGGGATTGTTTACAGATCTAATGTATTGGCAAATGTCAGTGATGGTGAAGATGTGAAGATGGTTAAACAGATCATTAGACTTTAAACAATCCATACCCAAGGGGACCCTGGCAGCACTTGCATCAGGGTTTATCCAGAAGGACAACCAGGAGAGAACTACGATGAGCAGCGTGGGGGCATAAACACCCATCATGTAGAAGCCAACCTGTCGCCTTAGGGTGAAGATGACCTCTACACATGTGTAGTACCCTGCATGAGGAAAGAAAAAATGGTCAAATATGATAAAATAACTTCTGCGAGAAACACAGTTTGCCTTGAAATTCAAAAATTAGATGGCATCAAACACAAGGCAGTTTGGCCAGGATGAAGCTGCACCTTCTCCCTAGACGAGACAGTCCGGACTCTGCTTTTTAACTATCTGAATGAATGTTATCAGTGTTAAAACTGGATTTTATAGTTTTTATAACGAAGTAGGAGATACTTACACTTTCTAAATTCCTTACATGTCCCACTCAGAATTACAACTAGGTGGCTGATGAACTTTTTTTTCCAACTCGGCTACTCATAACTACCGTCTGAATGATATGGCATGAACGCAGCATCACACCATTTTTATCAGTTCAAACATGTCAGCACGTTATAACCTTATTCAGTGTAGAAATGTGAACCTGAAATGTGAGTATTCAGACCCTGAAGTGAAACGCAGCAGGTGAGAGAAATGGCCCTATCCTGACTTGGTCTATTAAATCCCCATTAAGCATTTAGAGGGAAGGTATAGGCTAGGTTAAGTCCTGTATCTGATCTGCCTCCATTTAGCCCGGGCACAAAGGAAAGCACAGCTGTGTGCACCATTAGTACCAGAGAAAGCAAAAGAGAGGAGAAAGAAAGAAGGTCAATGGGCATAAGGGCTTAAACATCATTTCAGCTAACTTTGTTAAAGCTGAGACCTGTTTGAGCATTCAGGGCAGCACCCCAAAAAGCTCTGCTTCCAATTGATAACGTGCCAATTACATAGCAGACCTGTCAAAGAGGCACAGAACAGATTATTTTTCTCAACAGAACAGCATAAATTTCTACTCATAAACTCATAATACCACTTTAACTAATCCATCTCTGCAGAAGTATGGCTTCCATTAGTTGGGCTTAAACCAGCATGGAATAAGCATCCATACGCTTCAGACCTCCTATGGCCGTGTTGTGTTTTTTGCTCTTTGAGGTCCAATGGGATGGTAGAGCGGATGGGCTAAAGTAATATTTAACTAGCCCAGGGAATTCTGGGTGAGCTTTATACAGCTTATAAGGGCTGCCTGTGTCGCAGAGCAGGCTCGAACCAGTCGTACACAGAGGTGATCTTTGTGTCTGGCCAGGTTGTCATGGTAACCTGTTAAAAGGCTGACTCATTGCCAGCAGTGTGCCTCCCAAGTGCGAGAGCACTGAGGTCACACCAGCTCTATTCCTGATAGAGATTGTCTATTTCATTGCAAATGTTGTTTTGGACTCACAGCGGTCTGAATGTGAGTATGGCACAGCACCAAGACCGTTTTTAGCCATTTTTCTCCTTTATTAGAGGAATATTTAGTGTTTTTAGCCATGCTGGCATTCCCGGGGAAAATGGTCATTGTTCATTAGTCTGCGTATGCTACAGTCTATCCTTACTACCTCCAACCATCATCATCTAGAGAAGTACCTAAAGGGTCGGGAGGGAGAGGCGCATACATTTGACCTCAACTTGAATGGTCAGACTTAAAGATACCATGTGGAGTTTCTGACCTTTTGAACAATGTCTTTACCAGAAGCTCCCTGTTGTTTGTATCGCGCACACGCAGAAGGATGTGTTCACACATGTGCGGCTCGATTGACACTGCTGTTGGTTTCAGGCAGATGGTGATTGTTTATAATAAAATCCACAGGACATATTTAATTTCTGAATTTCCTCAACTTATGCAAAAATGATTAAAAAGTCTTCAAAGAGCAAAATTTTTATTTCATGGGTTGCTTCTTGTTTTTATGTTTTTATTTAACCATGAGCAAAATGGACTAAAGTCACTTAATGTATTTTATTTGCTGTTGTATGATTGTACAACAGAACATATCCATCCCTGCTCTCTGTGATAAAAAAAAAAAAAAATCCATCTTTACAATACTGCAGGGTAAGAAAGAAGTCATATAGCTTAGCTTCGATCAGATAAGAACATGCATTTGAAGCCTGCCAGCTGCTGTCCAAGATCGGATCTGCTCCAATTTCATCTTTCAATCAACGGAGTCCGACTAATCTTCCCTTAACAAAAAGACCCATCATCCTCTGCTGATTTCTTTGAATGGGAATCTATAACACCACTTACACAATGAATGCAGCAAGAAGGAAAACAACCCACCACCACACAACTACCAACTCATGTACAGTAAATCCCCGACCAAGATCACAATGAAATAATTAGTTGTTGTCGTGCCCAAAAAACACTTGTAGAGCAATTCCTGAGTTGTTATGACAACCAAAATGAACATCAAGGAGCAGAAATATATCAGGGGACCTGCCAGACATATGAACATTTTGGAGCCTAAGTATAACAAGGACACCATAGCTTTGAGCCTACCCAGAACAACCTATTTTCAATTCAGAGAGAATAATTAATGAATGGATGAAAGAAAAGCCCAAAGATGAACAGCACTGAATCAAAATGTTGTTTAGCTTTAAGGCATTGTGGTTAATGGAAACAATGGTTCACAATATTTCACTCTGCTGTACATTTTTTACTTTCTACTGAGTGAGTAACGCCAAATTAACACGGGAAACCTGCCTAGCACAAGCGAAAAAGAACATTTCTATTTCCATTTTTGTAACTTTTTGATGGGTTTCAAGACAAGGGCAGTACCTGTTCCTGCGTAGTATTTGGTGCAGTTCCCATAATCAATATCCTCTTGTCTGATATCAAACTGTGGCAGAGCGATGGCGTCCATTTGCACTGGGTCTCCTGTCTGCCACATGAACTGCAGGTCGTCCGTAGTGTAGCCAACTTGATGAAAGAGGTGAAAAGGCACACAAAAAGTCAACATGCAGAGAAATTATTAAACACACATTAGTGCATACACAAATGCATATATACACATTATATTTGCATAATACATGTTTGTGTGTTACACATTTACAGAAACATAATCACTAGATAAAATATAATGTGTATGCACACAGACATAGGACGCTATAAGTCTAGCAGTCAGGTTTGGCATTAGAGGGAAATGGCTTGAAGTTATTTTGCTTATTTAAGTCTAAACTGCTTTGTAAACAAGATGTAATAACCACAGTCAAGCTCAATTAGCTATGAGACTTTCACAACAGCCTTAAAATATGATGATTTATTCCACTTCTCTAAGTGCTTGCCATTGAAATCAGCTTCTAAAACACAAGCAAAAAGCTCTCATTTACCCCTAAACAACTATTTTATAAAAACAACAAATATATTCCCAACTCATAAATACTGTATCTCCCAAATACCATCCAGCAGATGTGCTAACTGATGAGTTGGTTTTAGGTGATATTATTTCTGGAAAACTCACAGCTTTCAAGTTGCATTTTACACCTCTGTGTGTCCATAGGGAACAACGTCAGGTCGAGCGGACAAGACAGGGTGACGGACAACCTGGAGGAGGAAGGAAAAAAAAAACGGTTTTCGTTTTTTTAAATTCATGCTCTGCTTTAGTGTTCTCTCATATCCACTTAAACTCCCACACAAGCCTTGTGTGCGTGACACCAGTATTATGTCGAGAAATCACAGGATTTAAACGTTTATTCAAATGTCTTTATTTTTTGAGTAGTGGTTTTGCAAGGGATATAATCAGAATATGTTGCAGTCAGAATTACAGACAAATTTCAATGATTATCTCTGGAGATGATTGAAAGCTAACATAACAGACTGTAGCTGTAGGCCCAGCTAGTTTACATTGTGCCCCTTGGAAGATGAAGTATTTTTCACCATATGCTATGCATGTCAACAGTCTCATTATCTTTAGAGATTTCACTCTTGGAGCCTACAGCCACAATCATTACTGACCCAGTTACAAAACAAATAAAACCATGGAATCCGTGACAACATGGAAAAATCTTACCCTGACTGACTGAAACAAAGCACACAGGACTATAATCATTGGCGCTGATTAGAAGGGTATTAAGAACAAAAATGAACAATTATTATATCATCACTTTAGTGTCCCTAAGTAATTGTCCTTTGCAGTGTGCCCTTAAATCATATGATTTGTTTGTTTAGTCTTGTTTACGCACATCTCTAAAGCTACATTGGTCAAACAGCACATTTATATTGCCTGATAACAACACTGAGTTGTCATTTTGTTTCACTTGGCACTCCATTCATTGAAGAAATATGTAAATTTTAGGATTGGAGGATATCTGATTAGGCTTTTAATCAACTGTGGGGTACATCAACATTCCAGACATTCCCTCGGAGCTGGAAAATGTACCAATGTTATCTTTGGATTGGATGCAAATTAAATACTCCCTGCAATAGAAGACAATGATAAAATATAAAAATGAAAATTCATTACCTCATACTGATGAGGACATCTCCGTTACGAAAGATGAAGAGGAGAATGTTCTCCTGGGTAACATCATGAAAGTTGGCACTCTTTTCATTCGCGAAGAACAGGTCGGGTTTCCAGAGACATTTGAACATCTTGGGATCAACAGTGAGAGAATCAGACTTGAAGTCCTGCGGTAGCTTCAGCCTGGGGTCGTTCCAGCGCTGCCGCAGGAAGATGTTGACTCTGTAGTCCTGTTAGGTTCAAGACCAGACACGCACAAACATGGTTAATGTCTGTACAATACCTTTCAAAGTGATCAGTAGCTAATGAATAATGTTTGTTTTCTAGTAAATGACATTTTATTTTCATGGCCTTTGTGCTGTGGTTACATTCATGATATAGCAATAGATGTCTTGAAAGGGCAATAGAAGCATTTTAATCTTTTTAAAGGGGATGATTTGTAAGTTTCCTCTGCCACCAAATGTGGTTTCTTGCCAGGAGCGGGTGGTGGTGATAGTCGCTTGACAAGAGCTTCGGCTATCATTGCATTTACATGACAAGGGGGCAGATTCGAGGCTACAGTGAGTCGCTACCAGAAAGTGACGAGACAGGCCAGGGCTAGCTGGTTAGCGTGCTAACTTCAGTAGAAGGAAAGATGTGGTAGGACCAAGAGTTTACATGGACATTGCTTTCCACTGCTGGAGGCAGCTCTTAGTGAGTAAAAGAAGTTTGATGGTGAACTCGCAATATTTCTTCTAGGCTGCCAAGTAAACAGCTGTTAATGCTAATGCTGGCTGTGTAGCAATAGTAAATCTTACAAGTAGCTTTTAAACACACTTAAGACACTTATATGATACTAATGCTTTGATGTGAAGAAGTTTGTTTTCTTGCCAGATACGACCTTTCCTTCACTGTTGCATGTCACTTTTACCAAGATACAGCAGCTCTACCCTATTAAGAGGATAACATGTTGTACTTCTTTCTATCTCAGTGAAAAGAAAAATCACTTCAACAGACCACTTTAAAGTGCTGAGTGAAATTCCACAGCTGCAACGAAAACACTCATGACGTCTCCTTTTTAAAGCAGTCAACATACAGGAAACTGCACAGTCCAAGGGTCAAATGTTATCAATACAGCAACATGTGATACAGCAAATATCTCATTAGTGAGCTTATTAGTGAAATTTCCACATTCTTGCTGGTAGGAAAGTATCACTCAGTGAGGCTATGGGATTTTTTTTTTTTTTTTGTGCCTGCTTTGATGGCGTGCCTCAAGCTGTTCTGGGACCAGGTGCTAGGAACGACTATTAATGCTGAGTGTGAAGATGGATGGCATGTCAAATAAAGCCACCAAAATACCATCTGTATATATATGTGTGTGTGTGTGTGTGTGTGTGTGTGTGTATCCTGGTTAAGAAATTAACTTCCATCTTCCATCCCTTCATTATTCCCACTTGTATGACTTTTTCTTTTTTTTTGATACAGCAGCTTGTTTAAAGTCTTCTGAATGCCAACATTTGTCATTGTTCCGTGCTCTGCACTCAGTTTTCAGATTAAAAGGGGCTCAATCTTTCTCTCAAATAGAGAAAAGTGTCAATATTTGACAACTTAAAATAATTCCACCAGCATTAAATGAGAAAAAAAGTGGCTCTGTTGCTGGTGAACTCTTTGGTTAAATACTGGTGCAAGAAATTTACAACAGCTGTGGCAAAAAGACCACCCATCCTCTCCCCAACCACCGGCACAGTCAGAGAAAGTGCATATACACAGAGGATGTAATGTTAAACTACCAGAATGGAAATAATGGAACTGAAATAAACATATGTAAGACTGTATTTTTTTTTCTTTTGGCAAGAAAATTAGCTTGAGGCAAATTCAGGTCAATGAGTCAAACCCCACAACAAAACTCATCCCACCAAACCACAGACGTATTAAACACTGGATAAGGTGTCCACACATGATGGTGCATTCATCTCATCTCATTGCTTCCATGCCCATTATGTGTGTCATTGTCTCCGGCTGACTGCTGGCTCACATGAATGGTACGAAAATAATGATTCAAACTGTTATTCGTTTGCCAGTGGTCTTTGAAATGGTGATACGCAGGAAATTTTACAGCTGCTTCTTCTGTCACGGACGCGTTTGAGCCCGAGGCGGTCGTTTGACCTGCAGTTCTGTCTTTGGCCGCAGTGACAAAAATCACCACTGTGTTTTCTGTTGCTTTAAACTCAGTGATCCTGGGGCTTCTTTTGTTGCATGTTTCTCTCCTCCTCTTTGTTTCCTGTCAGTATCTTTGCTATAACATATCTAATAAAGCAAAATCACAAAAACTCCCCTCAGGGATCTCTGCTTACTGACTGTTATTTTACAACTGCACAGGCTAATCCATCCATCAAAATGAATGTTTTTGCCAACATTATTATTACCTCATATGTCAGTCAGAGCTCCACTGAGTAAACACTGCAGATTTTGGCATTTCATTCACTTTCTCTCAGTCCTATACGATCTGTACTGTAAATATATGTTAGCTGGTATTCTGGCAAAAGATTTTACCTACTGGAAACTATTTCAGTCACAGCCAGGTTTGATCGTGAGAGACAGCCAACTGACCTGAATCTGGGTTTTGTAGTACATCTGTTATTCATGAAAGTACATTGGTTGTGTGATTATTTTGTTTCAGCACCATGGCAACTTTATCTGCAGTCAAGAAGCCCAGTGCACATTGAGCTGGACTGTCTGTGTGTATATTCAGATACACGGTAATGCTACTAACAAGAGTTATACTCCTTCTGTCCTTCTTCCTCTCTACTAGGCCAGAAGGACACTTTCAACACTAAAACCCTTCCTCAGGACCAAAGCAACACACTTAATTAATACATTATACACTTATTTTCATACAGATATTTGTGCCATTTATATATTTAGATAAAAAGGGAGGCATTCTTTCAATTCTCAAAGACATTTTCACCCTTCATTTAAGAAGTTAGATCCAACATTATGCAAATGTTGACTATGTAATTCTCATACAAACCTAAATATCAAACTGTATACATTCACAAGATCACTTTCCTGGCAAAAATATAGAAAATATATGATGTATGATTGAGCCGTGCGACTAAGTTGTCCTATTTTGAAGGCTCCTTCAAATGCAACTGAGAAATGCAGCCGTCTTTTCCTGGGCAACGAAGAATCTGACTGGTGGATCCTTCGTGGCCCAACCTATCCCAAGATTCACTGCGCACCAGTAATGAAAATAATATTGCAGCAAACAACGCTGACAGAGAGCCAGAGGATTACACTTATAAATGTGAGTATTGGGTTTAAGCTCAGTTTAACCAAGGGCCTTTAAACCTCAAGTTTTTGTGAAAAAAAAAGTTACGTGCCGCAAGGTTGCTAGGTTGTTTTTTTGCGATGCAACAGCACAGCCGGTGATGCAAAGCAAAACTCCTCTGTAGGCCAGACCGTCTCATTTTGATTTGGCTACGAAGGTGTGGCGCTTTGCAGCCACAATAGACCACTGAACTGGGACACAGCTCATGTCTACAACGAGACAAGAAACCAAAACAAAAGGTTTCCATCCTCACAGGAAGGAGCTATTTCTAAAACTCATAACATTTTACACACAGAGGTCTCAGGAGGGTTTATAAATTCAGCAGTAAACCAGAACGTGCTTTATTTCAATGCCAGTAAACATTTGTTTGTGAGAGTACTGGTCAGATTTGTTGATGTCTAACTTTTGGAAGGCGAGCTGTCATTTCTGTACAACCTAATTTCAGACTTCCGACATCCAACTGGTCCTCAAGCGACAGCACGAACAGCTCCTGCCGGCTCTCCTCTGTCTGCCAGAGACGCAGGCCAATTCCCACACCTTCGCCTTTCTGAAAACCAGACAACGAAATATATCCTCCTCCTGGCTCGCTATCAAGCTGCCAGCGCTGCATTCGATTCCAGAGAGATTTAACACAACCGCTCGCTGTAATCAACCAGGAAAACTCAAACTGAGAAGCAGTTAAAAAAAGAAAAAGAAAAAAAAAAAAAAGAACATACGCATACACACAGCCACAATTTATTTCATTTCACAACATCAAATTAGTCATCCTCTCCTGGTGAATACAGTCATAGAGTGAAAACAGATGTGTTAACTACAGTGGACGCGTGGCGGTTGTTTGGCCGAGGGAGGTGTAAATGATGAGAGAGGGTTTCCTGGGATCAGATACCCAACAAAGTGATAAATTGAGGGGGAGAGGTGACCAGCTGTCTCTCCGTTCTCCTCCTGGGTTTGTTTTGAAACTTCCTCACTTTCAGTCTCTTTCTATCTTTTTGGTGTCCAGGGAGAAGAGGGAGGACAGAAGTTGCCGTCTGGGAGTGCCTCATCTCTCTGTCTCTTTCTCAGTCTTGGCTCTTACTTGTTCTTTCTCAATCCTGTCCCCTTTCCTTCTCCTGGCTTTAAGTTCTTCCCTCTCTTGCTCTCTACACTTTTTCTCTCTCCTCCTCATCCTCTTCCACTCTTTCTAATTTCTTTTCCCTGCTTGGTCTGATTCTTCTTCCTCCAAATTCCCTGTGTTCAGTTTCCTCATTCCTGTCTCTTAATTTCCCTTTTTCTCATCTTTATCACACCTCTCACTCTCTCTCCCTTCCTTCTTACTTTCTTATCTTCTTTTTCTTCCTCATTCCCTTTTCACCTTCTCTTTTTTCCTGTATTTTCTTCCTTCAATCTCGTCATTGCCCTTGGTTTTTTTTCTTTCTTTCTCTTTTTCTACTGCACTTCTCTACTGCACTTCTATACCTTGCATTTTCCACTTTCAGCATGTAACACCTTAATTGGTCTCTAACTGTTCCTGGTGTGAAACTCTCCAGTGGAGGATTTTAGAGGTGAACACACTTTACTGATCTGCAGCCAAAGGAAATATTTCCAGAGTAGATTTTCATGCAGTTCCAATCCCAGGATGTAGGATCTAAAGCTTTGCTCAGAGTGTGACTCCTCATGAAATGAAGTTGGCAGAGGCGCACCATCAGGAGAGGCAAACCAGGCAAATGCTTGTGGCCCCCAAGGGGAAATGGGGCCCTCGATGGCCGGTTGTATCGGCACATTTAGCAATGACACTATACAGTGCAATGCTGTTGCCCTAAAACCCCTACAAGAGGGGCCTCTGATGATGTGTGCTGTAGTTAGCGTCTACCCATTGCCTGCATGTGAGACATTTAAGGGGCATGTCTAAACTTTAGCATCTGCAAACAGTCTGCATGTGGGCAAAGGTCTAAAATCTAATACTCTCTGTTCCTGTGAGGACTGAGATATTCCATAACTAAAATTGATTTGTTTACACTCGAAAAAATGGCAGTTTGGAAGTAGTATTGTGTATTGTGTATAAGTAGTATTGTACCTCAGTTGCCACACAGTCCACATGCTGACTTGCAGTTTTTTTATATAACTGAAAGCTCAGGAATAAGGCTTAACAGTACAGTAAATGTGGGCTCACTATTTGGCAGGCAACAGGTCACTGCTGCTTTTTTTTATCTAATGTGTTATAACAGCTTATAAATGTGTGTTACCAAGCTAATTAATAAACTAGTTAAAAACCGTTCATAAATCCTTCATAAGGGTAGTCTTATTGTAAAGTAGTACCATATTATTTGATGCTGGCTAATACCCTGTGTACCTGTGTTTCAGGTTCATCTCCCCTGTCTTCCTGGTTTTACTGCCTCGTTCAGTCCCCCGCCTGTCAGTTATGTTTGTTGAAGATTAAACCTCTGCTTGTTTCTATCCAGTGGCTGTGGCTCAGACACCTGAACCCTTGGTTGCCCTGCTCCTCTGATCGAAACAGCTTCAAAGACTTTTTTTCTACCATAAATTACCCTTGTTTGAACTTTAACTCTGGCTCTGTGTCTGAGTTCTACTGATGGGTCCTAAATCTAAACGTTGATCTTAACCAAAACTCTCCAGATTGCAGACTATAAATCTGTGCTACAGAGACAGAATAAAGTCAAACTTTGGATTCTGTCACTCCGCACTGCATTAATTACAATTAACTTGTCACGTGATTGAATATATTTACTGAGAGACTGTGAAAGCTCATTGGCCCCTCCCAGCAGCTTTAAATTAAAACACACCGGTAAGCCAGGCTGATTAGAAACCTTCAGGATTGTTCCTTTTTATTGTTTCTTAAGTGATCGAGAGTCAACCCAGCGCCGTCCTTGAGTTTAATCTGTTCATTAGCATTAAAACTGCACTTCTTTATCAGCAATTAAGCCATCAGATAAATGAGGCAAGAAAACCCCAGTCTTCATAATGATTCACTGCTAAATGGCCTGATACCGTCTAGAAAACATGCTCAGGCATTCTTCCTAAACTTTGTAGGATACAGCAGTTTTTAGCTCTGAACCACTGCTTCTGATTGGAAGAAGTATTGATTATCAATTCTGTCAGGAATAGTGGAATTGAAGTGATTTCTTACCATGGTCGTTTCTTGGATGGAGCCAAAGCTGTTGATGAATATGTTAACTCTGTCTTCCACAGGAATTCCTGGATTGAAGAGGAGGAAAGAAGTGATTGTGGTAATGAGTCGACTGTGTTGTAGCTCATAGCAAGTGTCAGTATGTTTCATGAAACCATGTATGTCTTCATTTCTACATTTGTAGATTGTTCTGGTGATTGAATTGGCTCTAACACTTACTTACTCTTACTGATCAGGATTTGTGTGAGACTTTATCAACTTTGCAAATTAATTTAAAAAAATACCCTCTGAAGAGCATCCTGTTCCTCTGCTAAGCTAACGCTGTAAACATTTATACAGGCATCTCTCTCCACTCTGCCTTTTGCATAAACTAATAAAATCCTTGACGAATGACGGCCACTCAGACTGCTTTGAATAAATGATTTCCTTTGACGTGTTTACTGGAGGCTCAGGAGTTTCACGGGATAAATTTCATCAAGCAGTTTACAACATTAATGCAAATAATATGGAGGTGGCATAAAGCTCACACCTCCAATGCATTATTGCAACCTAGAATACTAATTCATTTTCCAAGAAAAAACCTTGTGGCGTTACCTTAGAAATTCTCTATATGGTCTATAAAAGCAGCTCACTATTTTATAGGCCTGGGCAAAGTAATGCACCAGGCGCAGTTTAGGATGTAATTTGGGAGATTATGACATGGATGTTAATGGACGGGGAGCTTTCAGCCCACCCTGAAATCAAGAGCAGATGTTTGGCCACTGGACCAGTCGCAGGCAGTCAGGGAGGGAGCTGATTCTGCTCACAACACATCAAACACCGAGTCCCAGATACAGCTCCTGCTGCCAAGTGCCTGAGGATGGAAACTATCTAAGGATCCACCTGAAAACCAACCCATCAGTTAGATGGAGAGGCCGGCCAGTCACCTCTTTGTTATTTTTATGGCTGTTTCTGCGAGACGTAAGCCTGGTACTCCCTACAGTGTGATGTTTACAGCACACTGTAAAGATGGATACTTAACTGGCAGTAAAGAAAGGAAAAAACAATGTACTGTAGATTTTAAGTGTTTATAATTAATCTGAAGTGGTTAATGGAACATGAAACTATAGTTATTTCCAGCAACGAAAAGTCAGATACAATATACAAAATTCACAGTGTTTGCTTTTTTTTTTGGAGACTGTTTAAACCAACAGAGTTCATTCCCAGAACAGAACTGCTGTGTGTGTCAATCAACGCCATATCAAACTGTCTCTGAGGAAAGACAAACTGAAAACAGCAGCTTACTGCTACAATGCTGTAGTACAGTTTATATATGCAAGTATATGCAGAGGAGGAAATTAATTTTCATTAATGTCCCAAGCACCATTTATATTATGCAGATATTTGTTCCAGCACCAAATTCTGAGAAGGAATCTGGAGGTAGATATTCATAGTATACACGTTTTTTTAATTACCATGACGGCACTGCAGCAAAAAATGTAAATTAAAAATAGACAGAGACAGATGAAGAGGGAAAGAGACTTGCCTTTGAAGTTGGGCCTTATTCTGGGATCATAGCTGATCAGTAACCTGTTCAAGATGTTACTGGTTGAATTTGCAGGGACTCGGGCCAGATCCTCAGATGACAGCTGTCTGCAAACAAAAAAAAAAATACAGAGAGGCAACTGTAGGCACGATTACATTAGCAGGTCAAATTCCTGACAGATGAACAGTGCAGATGCATAGTACACTAACTTCTACTCTGTATACTCTCTGATTAAACTATAACCTGAGAGAGCTACCAGTTGGGGATTAAATTAGCTTTTAAGATTCAGACCACCCAGGCAATGTTAGAGCAAAAGAATGTTTAGAAATGTAATGTGGTGCTATTCTGAGCTGTTTCCAGATCACGACTGGGGAGGTTGACATGCACCCAAGGGTTGACACAGGACGGTTTTTCAACTTTCTAGGACAATTACATAAATTATTACTCAAAAGAAAATTCTCTAGATATGTACAAAATAGAATGTACAAAAGTATAAAGTCATTAAACATCATATTTCTTACAAAACTAGGAGTCTTCACCCATGCTAGCATCTCTGCAAGACACAAGGTGCTTTAAGCTACAATAACAATGCTGTTTAGCCTGTTATGATGCTAACATTTGCAGACAAAGTAGGCGGCTGGTGGAAGTAAATTTACATTTGGAGACACATGGTTATAAACAAAAGTATTGGCCAAGTTAAAAAATTTCTAGTGCAGCCTAAAATGTTTGTTTCACTCTGATTTGTTGAAGGAAACTTGAAAATAGGCCACAGGGAACAAATGCGCCACACAACACCTTTAAAAATGGCACTTCATTCTTTATTGAACAATTTTTCTCCATTTATTTTTACTTTAGAATTGAGTCAATGAATTAGACATGCGGGTGGCAAAGAGTATAAATGACAAGTCAAGATAAACAATATATATTTTGTGCGCATATTTCTACTTTTTATTGAGACCTTTGAACCATCCTGCAAAAAGAGCGAAAAAAAAAAAATTTGAAATTTACCATAACATACAGTGGTGGTTTTAAAAAAAGTTCAGCCAAACATCATTTGTTTTCTGAGGTTGACTGATGAAAAAACAATGGGACAGAGAGGAAAATGGGGGGGGGGGGTCTGGCAGGAAAGGGAAGAAAGGAGAAACAGAAAGCCTCCTTGTGGGTGGCAATGAATTCTCCTGCCAAAGAATTTCCCCTCCTCAAAGCACTTTATATATCATTATGTAAACCTTATCATGCACTGAGGATGAGCTAAAGTGCTCCACAGGAATGCTGCGCAGTGTGCGTATGGTCTGCGGTTCCCCTGATCAAAGTGAAAAACATAATTCCCATCCACTAAACCTCTTTTTTTTCTCTCTTTTAACAGACCTTTCTGACAATCTCAAGCACAACAGTTAAACCGGAACCAAGTGGTTCCTTGATCCACGAACACGAAATATGTCATACAGCTTACACTTGCCAATACTGGGACTACATCAAACAGTTTCTCCCTCATGTTAAACAGTTTGATTGTCGAGCCATTCGTTACACTTTAGTTAAGGGTGCAGCTCTCCAATACACAGAGACAATGGATACTCTGAAGGCATGTAAGGACATACTGATGTTCATTCTGTTAGAAGGCATGTATTTACTTCTTTATATCATCCGTGAGCTGTTGACTCCATATTTATTTATTATTCTTTACAGTGTGTAAAATCAGCTGCAGCCACTTACCAAAGACTAAATATGGACATGCTGAAGCAATGGCCAGACTAACATCAGGCTCGTACAAGAAAGATGTGACTTATTATACACGTCACATTACAAGTATTCAGTGTTTTTGAACATACCCTGCTTTTGGTGGGTTTGACACAGATTTCTGTAAAGTCCATTTATCCTATTGGGCTGTACTGGAGTGCATAGGAGAACTTGAGTAGCTGTACAGTATAGCATCTGACGAGATCTGCTCAAACGTGACAGGTGGATGAAGACTGGTAGTAAGATCCATCAGGTGTAAAACAGACAAAGTTTCACGGGCACCTACAATGGACATTAAAGGGGGACTCCACAAATTTTACAGATAAAGGTCAGTTCACTAGTCACGCGGCGTGCCACTCAGCCAGTAAGAACGGTTGGACAGTATCTTGTGTGGCTTGAACTTTGTTGAGTGTGAGAAAGCAACCCTGGTGACATCATTCTGGGTTGGAAAATCAGTTATAATGAATAATAAATAAACTAAACACTCTGAAACTGTAATGTTACGTAGTATTTGCAATAAATGCAACTTGAAGTAGATGTGTGATGTATGTCTTTTGTAATGTATGACAACACTGGTGTTGTTTCTTCCATACTTACGAAGGACAGTAGACCTGCTTCCCTTTCTTCTTTCCCTTCTTTGTTCCTTTTTCTTTGGCAGACCCTCCCTCCAGACAAAGAGAGAGAACCAGGAGAAAGATGACGAGCTTCTTAATGCCCATTCTGGTGCGCGCTGAGCCTGTAGAAAAGCAAACAAACTGATTAAATAAAGGGAAGAAGCCAATGAATTTAAATTACTCAGGCTTAATAGCGTGCAATTTAATAACCAAAAAAAGAGAATGTTTTTCTCATCACATTCAACAAATCTTCATTTACACGTGACAGAAGACAGCGGCTGCTTGAGATGTACCCTTGGTGGGAGTACAAACCTCAAGAGTATTTTATTCTACTTCCTGTGAACACTGTGACTTTGCCCCTTTCCTGATATGATGCATTCCCATTTTCTCTTCATACAGTCAATGTCTGAAATGTAAATTAATCAATCTGACATGGTTTAATCAAGTAGAGCAAGTTCAAGCATAAATCCAATCAGTGGAGTAATGCGCCTGAATAACGATGGTCATTCAGGACTTGTCAGGTGAATGTGACCTCTAAAGGGTGGCTGAAATAAATATTACCTAAAACGTCCTCGACTTCAGTTTCGGAAGCTGCACAGAGAAGGTTTAATAATGCTGTTTTATGCAACTGTGCTTTCTCTTTATCATGATGTTTAAAAACTGTATCATTAGGTGTGATCTATGATAGCTGTGGTTCAGTCCTACCTCACACCGCAAATACCAGCATACGGCCATACATATACAAATGCACACTTTATACTCAGAGGCAGTGCATTTTTGCATTTCTTGATAGGGGCCATTTATCAGCTAGCAGCCTTAGTACCTGTGTGAATCTCCCCCCACCCCATCTAGGAAAGTGGTGCCCTTTCAATGCATAGGGATATTGAGACCAAGAGCAAAGCCAACAATCTCACCCAACCTCCCCCAACCCCCCCTCACCCTGCCAGCAAGACTGTATATTAACTGAAGCAGTTTATTGTCTAGACACAGACACTCTCTCCCTCTCTTTTTCATTGCCTTGGCCCAGTAACTCCCTGTCTGCTTCTCGCCTGCACATTGATCATCATGTTCTCCAGCAGAGATCGTTTCCACCGCTCAGTTCGGCGCCTTATTTTTTTTCGTCTCCAGGCAAACACCTGACTTTGCCTAAGTTGGCATCACTTTGTCGATTTGGAAGATTCCTGCAGAATTGGGAGGTTGGAAGGTGTCCTCGTTCTGTAGGCGAAAACAACCAGCATACATCAACGCTGACCCACACGTATCCGATGGCACATTTCTTGGAAATCATTTCTCATCTGACCTACAATTTGTATGTCCCATCTTCCCCTGTGGCATTTCACTAGATGATGACTCCCATCTCTGACCCCCTGATCCAGTTTTCCTGACAGCACATTATGGCACTAGCTCCCAACCTTTTTGGTTTGTGACCCTTAGTCATCAAGCCATGCCTCATCAACCCCTTGAGGGACGTTCCAGTCACACTAGTCTGCGCCTTGCTGTGTGTATATTCACAAAAAAATTTTTAAAAATAATAAGAGAGATAACCAGGACATCTTGCACAGCCATGCTAAAACTGATTCCTGTGTAGAGAAATGAGGGTTCAGCTGAGATCTGGTCCGTAAACTGACCTTGGCACTGCCTGAGTCAACTCTGTGCCACCACCGAGGAACATTTCCCTTTCTGTGTTTTACTACTGGCAATGTTGAAACTGCAGAGGCATTTTTAGAGAGCGGTTGACAGTGACTTAAGAAGCTTTATATGGTCTGCCCCATGGGTCCAAGGTCAATAAGCAATTCTGCTCTGCCCACATTACGTCTTCAGGTTGTGCACTTTTTAGATTCTGGTCCATAAACATGTGACAGATAGAAGAATATTCAGGTACATGAGAGATCATTAGACTGTTTTTAAGCTATTAATGGTAATGGTAAAATTTTGATTTTGTATAAATAATATTATATACTTATTTAATTGTAATTAGATTCCACATAATACAATACACTCCAGTTGACTATTTGATATTCTTCTCTAACTGCAAAATGCATTAACCCACGAGGAAAGGCCTGTGCTATGCTCATAAAAAATAATGAGATGCATCCAACTCAAAACAACCAGTATACACATTGGCTACTACGGGGGCACTCACAACCTGTGGCTGCACGTCGCTTTGGGTCTCTGTGTAACAACAGAAAAGTAAGTAGCAGAGTCTGACACTCGCCCAGAGCCTGAGCATCAGAAGAGCAGAGGAGATTGAGTGAGAACAACACAGAAAAACAGCGACCACCATGACGGGGGATGGAGGGGGGATGCAGGAAGAAGATGCCAGCACATATGAACGCGAGCGCGCTTCACATGAGCGCACGCTACGAACATAAATAACACGAAAGTCGTTTTATCGCACATCAGGTCACACGGTCCCACTTACCGTTTTTCTTTGTCACCTGTCAGTTCTTCAGAAAACTGGACCCAGTAAAGCTGAGAGTGAAAACAGTGGTTAACACAGCCTTCCAGACCAGTCGCTGTCTTTCTTTTCCATTCTGTTCCCGCTGTCTTCACTGAAGCGATTTCTTGAATGGGTTTTAGAAAAAAAAAAAGTTACATCTCGGCAAAGTGCCAATTTTTTTTTATTTCCGCGCCTTGTTTGTTGTTATTTTGGAGTCAGTGTGTATAAGGCTGCTGCCCTTTCGCCTCAGCTAGGAATGCCCAAGATGGAGGCTTGCGTGTACCTGTCATGCAACATGCGCAGTAGCGGCTGCATGGAGCCGGAGAGCATCAGTCCTCCCATCAGCACCACGGACAGCCGCTCCCCGCCTCCACGTCCACATCCACAGCTGCTGCTAAACGCTCAGACGTGACGTGGCGGCGGGAAAAAAAAGAAAAGAAAAAAAAATGCTCTCATTCACGTGATGGAAGTAAACGCCTCACTATTTATGGAAGTGTCTGTGTGGTATTTAACGGCAGATGGACGTGAACAGTGAACAGGGCTGTAGAGACCATAAAGCAGAAATTATGGATGCCATACAGTTCAGGGCTTCCACTGGTATTAATGTACTCAAAGACCAGACCTGGCTTTGCACAGGCGTTCTATATGTCATTTATATTAATCTGAATTCATATGAATTTACATGACTTATATGAATTTTATATGATTTTTTTCATGAAATATATTTTTTCAAAATGATAAAGTAATTGTGTAAAGTAAAAATTTATATACAGTACATGTACAGTAGGCCTATATATATATAGAGAGAAATATTATTCATCTAAACAAACCCTTAACGGATTAAGAAAACGGAAAAACTCACCACAAGGTCCATTTTGAAGCTGTTACAGGAGCTATGAATAATATAGAGATTAAGGTCCCTTAAGTGCTTTAAAAAAAAGGAATCTTGAACAACTGCATTTCCATGAAAACTGCGCATGATGAAGAAAATGTCATGTGATCAAAAGCTCCAGAACAACTGCCAATTGGACTCTGTGCATGGTGCACAGACTGTTTTCTCAGCTGCTGTTTCCAAGATCAATATCTTAGCTGTGAGTCGGTGTATTAAATCACATAGCCATCACTGTGGGAGGCAGAGCAGGTTGCATTGTGTTTTTCATCATGGCCCTTTAGTTTACAGTGAGATTGTGTCTTTGGAAGAATGAACTGAAGAACAGATGAGTGAGTGATTGAATGTATGACTTATATAAGTGTGAATAAAGCAGTTACAAACTCATCAAATATAATCACTTTCTATGGACACACACACATATATATATATATATATATATATATATGGGCCATGCTGTATAAAGGTATAGGTATGAGGTAAAAGGTCGATCATACCGTATATTATTATTATCGCCAAATGTTTTACCCCTCCCCTTTTAAAAAGTAACACGTTTACTCAGAGACATTTTAACTGACTTACTTTGTACTTTTATCTGAGAACATTTTTACACAGTGACTTTACTTCTACTGTCGTTAAATGTCTCTTCAGTAACTTTAGTAAGTGACTGTTCACATGCTGCAGTCAGTGTCTCATCTCCAGTCTCTGGAGTTTCTATTGCTTGTAGTATTTATTGCTGCTCTGTCTAAACACAGTTAATGTTGCTGTTTTCTTCATGAGAGTTACTAACTACCTGCTGCTCATTTAAACTTACACTAGTTCTGCTCCAGTACCCGGAGCTCTTCCTTTTAGAGACTTTCACTAATTCAACAGTTGTTTACATGCTATTCAGATAAGCTAGTTACTTTAGCTTAGCAGTTAGCACTAGCTTCTCTCTCCCTCTCTCTCTTGCTCGTTGTGTCTTGAACCAACAGATGAACTTGTTCATCAGAGTGTGGTGTTGTTGTAACTTCAGTGTAGAGGATTGTGATGTTTATTACATCTTCAGTAAAGTCTGCAATCTTACCTTCGACATACACTTCCGCTCAGGAGCCTGTGACCGTCTGCGTACACAGCAGCCTTCAGTGTGATAGGGCAGGCTATTACTAGTGACGTATAACTAATCAGATGGTGATGTGGGCGGGACACCGCGACACACGTTAGTTGAGTTTACTGTCTGGTCTCCGACAAGTTTTTTCAAAAACAAATCGCCCAGATCCTGAAATGGAGAGGACAGAAGAGTAGCCTACTGGCAGTTAGTGAGAAGCGTCGGTACGCAAGAAAAAGTAACGCTACGCACATATAAAGAAGTGCGCGTACTGCGGTGCATACCAACCCACTTCAAGCACTGCATTCACATACTGTAAATTAAGTCTTTGAAGTGGGTTTCCCTTTTGCAACGTAGCGCCATAAAAGTCAGGGGAATCCAATCCTTTATTGTAGAAACACTGAACACCATATGCAACATATTCTGGATGAAAACAGATAGCATAACATACACTATTAGCTATCAGTCACTCACTACCAATGTTTTATCAGTTGAATAATCACTTCTTCAATAAAGAATGTCAAATCTATTATCCAGTTGACCTCGTGTATGAAATGTAGCTCTGCAGTATTAAATATGGACGTCAAAATGGCTCATAAAAAATGTTGTGGACCATAATAAAAGCTGAGTCAGTCTTTAAAAATAGAATTGAATATGTGAGTGATGATAGAAATTACTTTTAACATTTCAAAGAATTCCCTCCAGAGATTTTGCATTCATTTCTAAAAGCTACAATATGTGCTTGGATTTGGTTGTGGTCATAACTTTTTCACAAATGTCAGAACTGTTTGTGTCACTTTTCGTTCATTCTGTGAGATTGGTTGAAACACATTAAAAGAACTGAACAGGAAGCCTGATCTTTTGTTCTTCCAGTGAAAATAAAATCCACAGATGAAGCAAGTGAAACCGATTTTTCTTTCCCACAATTTTGATCCATATCTCATTCATCACTTTATGTCAAACAACTTGGGCGGCCTTCCTGTAGTATAATTTTGACTGACATGGCATTCCATTTGCATACACAAATTAATCGCCACCATATGCATAGAGATTAATGATTTATGTCACAGGGCATAGCTCTCTGGTGTTACAGTCAAGAGGCAAGCAATCGAGCACAAGGATCCTTTTGTGTTGTTCAGAAAAATGTTCAGTGGCTGGCTGCAAGCCACGTGTGTGAGTGACAACTATGTGCCATACCAAAAATATGTCAGGCCCATGTACTGAACCAATCTATTGTGGTTTTATACCTGGCATGCAAACCACATTTCTCCTACTGCTGAGAAGAGTTGCATCTGTTGTCACATTCTTATTAAAATGAAAATGAAGCTTTTGACAGATGGAGACTTGCACAAGTGTCCCTGCTAAACATCTTGTTTTTCACTATGTGCCGCTAAAGTAACGTGTTTGTTTTCAATTCAGAAGTGATGGGCAGTTGTTTTTGCTGAATCCAGAGAAGCTTCATGGGCGTAACTTCAGAGCAGTGACAAGATAAATTACCTGGAAGAGGAAGAGGCACAAGAAGCTGCCAGACTGAATGACACTTTCATGTAAATCACGAAGGATGAACTGAGGGCAGCCAGACTGGTGGGATTTGCCAAAAGTGTATTTGATATATTTTCAACATGTGCAAAGTGAATTTGATGCTGGATTCATAGTAATTGTGATGAATAGTAAAATCATATTTTGTTCACCCACCCTAAAAATGGATGAAAATCTTCATAGTTTTCATTCTTTTTACAAAATAAGCAGCTGTTGTCACAGTGATTCTGGGGTCTGGAACTGGCTTAGACTGACAGACACGTTGAGGCGTTTTGCAGTTTGTCAGAGTTGAGTGAGGATTCAGCTGGATGCAGGACAAACAACAGCACCAGCCTGTATTTGGGCCACAGCTTCTTAAGGGATTTTCTTAGGGAGTTTGATTTTTTCCTTTCCTATGTTAAATGTGTAAATAAAAAATCAAACATAATTTGTAAAATAATTCATTCTGCTGGCTTGAGAGGAAACGTCCTTTATTTTATGGATCAGTTCCCTCATTAAAGCAGCACAGTAAACAGGCACAACGTTGACATGTTCAATCATTGGTTTCCTCCTGGTTGCTGAGTGCTCCCTTTGGTTATTGATCAAGGTCTCTCCAAGGTCTTTATGGTGCTTCCTCTGACCTGTAAACAAAACATGTGTAGACCTAAATGAACTTGTATCATACATGTTAGAAACACTTTAATGTCAGGCATACTTGCTTACTTACTTATCTTTTACCAACATGTACTTTCCAAATTGTACATATTCAGTATGCATACTTCGTAATATCAATCGGTAAGAGTAGACATATGCACAGAGTAGCATGTCCACCCTCATACAATCCATCATCTAACAGTGCCTGGCTCCAGTACAATACTGTATTGATGAAGCGCAGCACTGTAGTAGATTTGACCCGTGGATCATTAAATAAGCAGATTGCCATAATGGAAACTGAGTCTTCCCCGTCAGCAGATGTTTAGTAAATGCAACACCAACCAAGGTTATGATGAAGGCATCGAGCCAGAGAGCTGTTCAGCAGGAGAGCTCCCTCCCAGTGTTTCTGGACTTCTCTCTACTCCGAGGGAAATCCTCAAGGAGCAAAGAGGCTCTTTCCAAAATGTCACATCCAGCATTCTACACCGAACGAAATGACGACAGGTTTTTGTTGTAATTCATTGTACAGTGACCGTGTTTTGCTTGCAAACATTAACACCACTTGAGATTAGTTTTTCTTTCCTCCTGTCTCGTTTTCAGAGCAGTGATAACAAATAGAGTCGGGCAGCATCACAAAGGTAACAAGTGAAATCCAATTGAATTCAGTTCAGGTTCTGTTGTGAAACACTGGCTGCAGACAAATGCACTGAATAAATGTACTGGACAAGAGTATCGCCATGTTTTTATGTAACTGATGGGCACAGCACAACACTAACATGCTTCAGTCTCTACGGGCCAACCGGGGCCACACGTACAGTGTTGTCCCACATGACCTTGGATGAAAAGCTCTTTCAAATAAAACGTGCTTTTGTATGAATGATTTGATTTGTGAGATCAACCTCGTGGGTTAAAATCAGTAGTAAAGGATTCAAGATGTGAAGTGGGAGTTAGCTTTAACCCTCTCACTTACCTGAATTGCACAAGATGTTAGCACATTAGTGTCTGTGCAGTATGTTCTTTGGTCCTGTAAAAACTATTTTGTGAGCTTTATAATGTTCTGTGTCTGTTGAGAGCGTGTCAGGCGAGCAGTGTAAATTTCCTCAGTCCTGTATTTTACTTGAGTATTTCTATTTTAAGCCACTTTATACTTGTAGTACACCATTTCAGAAAGATATATTGTACTTTTTACTCTACTAGATCTATTTGACAGCTATTTATTGTGCAGATTGTGATTTTTAGATGTAAAATATATGATAAATGATAAAACATGATGAAAAGTTCCTGATTAAATAGCCCAACAGTATGTAAAGTAATTACAGTTGGCTCCAGCTCAACCTGCTCCGCCTGAGTAAATCAATGAATGCAGGAGTACTGCTACTTTGATTCAACTCTATGAAAAACTTTGAGATTGTTGTTAGTGTGTTGATGTATTTCATAACATTATTTCATAAAGCTGTTCATGTGACTATTATTCCACCCTATAACAATCAAGTAAGGTGACAGGTTTCCTGATTTACAAGTGAGTACAACAGTGCCATAACAGAACAAAATCTCACTTTCCAGATTTACAGAATCCAATGAAATCACCGCCAGGTTATTTAATGAATGAATGTAAAGCCCTTTGGTGTAAAGCCCAATCTGAGGAGTAGCAGGATTGTCAGTTATACTAGCTGTGAGCCATACAATCTGAACGGTGAGAACAATTCAGGCACTGAAAAACAACAGTACACCTCTCTATACTGTGGTAATGATGGGTGGTTTTAGAGATTGAGATCGAATATGCGTGAAGATGGAGGCTCCAACCCCCTGCGACCCTGAACAGGATAAGCAGATTAGATAATGGCTGGATAGATGGATGTTTCCATTAGAAGACAACATGTTATTGTTTTACTCTAGGATTTATTTGAATCACATGATGAAATATGTTTCCCTTCACAACAGACTAGAATCAAAACGTGTCGTTTGTTACAGAGGACATTTTCCACAGTACTTTCAGTGACATCAAAAAATCTTCAGGGGGCACAAACCTGGCTGTAGCCCTGAGGGGCACCACCAGGGGGCTCTGGTTTCAAAGCCAAATGCAGCCAGGGGCAACTGAATCACTGATGCCACACTTTCCAAATCTCAAACTTCAGCATAAGACCCCAACATCCACAAAACATCAGAATCTCACTGCACATAATAAAGGGCCCAACACCCTTAGAGCAAACAGCCCATAGCATGACCTTGAATCTGAAATCAATAATAAGAACTCATCAGATGTAACAACCAAAATAAAAGACTTCAATTTGTTATAAATTCTGAGAAAGTGTGAGTCATTTCTTTCTGAATTCCTGTGTTGGAACATTTCCCACCTACAATGAAAACCACAGACAACTCTTCGCAGGACCACACAGGGAAACACTGCTGCTGCTCCTACAGGAGGTTTTACCATATAAATGAAGTCATCTCAAAGGCCTTTTTCCTCAAGGTGCAATAATGAAGTGCAATCTGGATTTAGAAAAGATGTCTGCTCCCCTGTGTTTCATTTCATTTCACCTGGAACAAAACTGGGTGTTTTCGCAGACACTGTGAGCGATGTGTCGTGTAATACAGACTGACTGGGAGAGGGCATTTGTTTGTTTGACAGTATCTGTCCTAAAAGGCAAGCAAGTCTAATGGGATTTTGCCATTTGTGAATCCTCTATTGTATACATTTCCATCTCCAGTGGACACAGAGTCCTCCAGGCTGGCACGTCTCTGTATGTTAGCCGTGACCCAAAAGGTCTGCCTTGTTTCTAATTTCCTCTGTTTATTATATTTCTTTGTATCAAAGCCTCCACGTTTCACAAGACCACCGTGGTAGCGGCAATCAAATGTGGACAACGAGACAAAATACCCAGCTTTTACAGACAAAACCTCAAGGGGTGAATGAGTGTGTGTATGTGTGCGCATGTGTGTGTGTGTGTGTGTGTGTGTGTGTGTGTGTGTGTGTGTGTGAAAGAGAGAGGGATTCCACAATGTGAAGTGCTGACATCTGCTGCAGGCCCTTGCAGGGATGGAATGTGATACACTCCTTTACACAAAGGACCTTGGCCCTTGCAGCAGGCATATGAAGACCTCTATATGCCCCTCTCCACTGGGGCAACACACGTATGAAATGACTGTATCAGTGCCCCATGCCTTCTTTTCTCAGCCATTTACTTTGATTAAAACCACAAAAAAAACCTCCCTTCATACCTTGATGCTGGAGAGATGGCTGCTCTGCACTTTCTTTGAGGTGGTAGTTTCTGAGCTATGTGAAACTGGGGGTAAATTGCTGCAGCATTGCATCATGTGTCTAGCTCAATGGGTTCAATATGTCTCCCGCTCTCCTTTGATTGTTGTGTCTGTGCTGCACCAGACTTACCATATAGCAGGGGGATACACTGGTGGATTTTGCCAACAATAGGATGGGAGGAACCACATGAAACGCAGTTGATGAGCTACAACAGTGTGCCGGGCAAGAAAGGAAATTGGGAACAGGAGGGAATATTGTTCCAAGCGGTGTCTCTGCTTTGATATGACAAATTGAGAAGCCCTTAAACATTTCCTTCCACAAAAACATTTAGGCAGAATGCACAACAGCGTGTTAGAAAGTCTAGTGTGGGTTCACATTAATCTTTCATTTCTGTATGGGGAGAATGAATCCAGGGTTTAAACAATCACTCCATGGTTAAAACAAGCTTACTTAGGCATATTTTCTTATGGAAACTTTCCTTCTGAATCATAAAGGTCCTGATGTGAACATGCATTGTGGACTTCAAGTATATGTTATAAATTTGATGGACCATGATGCACTGGGCAAAGAAAAACATGTAAGCGGGCCACAAAGGCCACAGCGTTGTAGCCCAATATTATGAGTCAGAAAAACGCAGTGGGAACAATTGGTGTACACACTGTAGCAAGAGAACTGTGTCATATATAATTGTCTTTTGGCCCAATTGTCACATCAGCCAAAACTACCTGGAAAAAGTTTTCAGTTCTGTAAAATTCACAGTGATAAACAAAAAAAGGACATAAGTGATTTAAATCAGTGGTTCTCAAAGTGAGATCCAGGGACCCCAAGGGGTCCTTGAGAGGGTTCCTGTGGTTTCCCAGCAAAAAGGGGAATCATTTATTTTTACTATAATTCCATCCTTACGTAACACAGTGACAGAATATATGACTATTTTGGTCATAGCTTTCAAACACTTTCTGTAATAAAACATCTCAAAGCAAAAATCTTATCAGATGCAGGACCGTGGTCTAATTTGTGTCAGTTTAGGGGATCTGTGATGTGAAAAAGTTATAGAACCACTGTTTTAATTAATATGAATTAAAAAAACAAAAAAACATCTCTTCTTAGATTTAGTCTTAAAACTCGACGAATTCAGCAGCAGGTCTCAGCCACTGTTGCAAAGTTGTTCCATAAATTCAAACTGAGAGAGATAACTCCACTTTCATTAGTCATTCATCTGGTGTTAAATATCATTTTCTATTGTGCAGGAAACAGTCTGTAAATTATTATTATTATTATCATTACTAATTCTATCTCCTTAATAACAGGCTGTACTGAGCTGCTTCACTCTCTGTTATCTGGAGACTTTTCTTGGAAACTACAGGAAACATGTGAAACTGTTTGCAACAAGTGGAGCTATATTTGCCAATTTGTGAGGCAACGTGGGTGAAACACCTCCTTGGACCAGGCAGCAACTGAATAGTTAACATCCCGGGGAGTTTCCTCGGCTGGGAAGTTGTACTTTATGTATAGCACCTGTTGTGCCGTCAGTTGGCAGTCTCCAAAAACCCAACCCCAGTCGCGCAGCGATATTTTATCTCAGTCTCCACCAAGTTATGACTCAAGACCTCGCCAGACAACAGAGCTCGTCTCGGTTCTGCGAATGATTTCTGGGTACAGACTGTATCAGGTTGCTCTCTCGCTGTCGTTCCCTGTGTTTGAGCTTTTGCTGTAATGCGTAAAGATCTGCGAGGATTTATTCAGACGGAGTCAAGACAGCACCGTGGACGCGCGCTTCAGCAAAAATGCATCTGCGCATTTCAAATGATCTAGTACCATAGATGATGTGCGTGCGTAAGGACGTTTTTACAACTAACTCCAGGATTATAAATACTTAAAAGTCAAACTTTGTCCAACTCAGTATCCAACTTTCCACAGAACCAACAGGTGCGCTCTTGCATTACGCAGCAGCGGCAGGTCAGGAAGCTTTGGAAGAGGATTAGTCTTGATTTAGAAAGTAAAAAAATTTCACTTTCTCCGGGACTGATGATTAAGATTATGTGGATTCTACTCTGCTTTTACCCTCTCCAAATGTGTCCAAAGCAGCACTGGTGCCCTGTAAACGACGCATGTGTGTGGTGATACAAACCATCCCGTCTCCAGCGTTTTGTGATCGCCAACCACCACTCATCCAAATGATCCTTCCATTATTATTCCTTCTTGCATCGCTTCTCCAACAATATGGATCGGAAGCTGAATCAAGTCCTGTCAGCAAATTTCACCTTCCAAGTGTAAAGGAGCAAAACGGTGAGTTTTCAGTGCGAACTCTGGAGTTTGTGACACACATCACAAAATGCTCATTCTGACTGGGCTTAAAGCCATTCTTAAAAAAAAAAAGAAAAAAGAAGGAACATCTTGCTTGAGTTTAAACTGCAATGAATGAGAGCGTTTCATTCAGTTCAAATAGCATTATCCAGGATAGGAAGTGCAAAATTACCTTTTACCTTTAAAGTGTAGCTGTGTATGTTTAACGGGGAAAACCCTCTGAAATTTCAGGTCCCCGGGGAAAAGTTTTCCCTGTGATCATAAAAAAAAAGGCTCCATTCATGCAGCAGTCGCTCCGGGCAGTGTAATTTGGTTACCCTCTGAACTGCACTGAGCTGCACTATCAAATTCAGAAATGCCGTTTTGTCAATGTTTAATGACACGTCCAGGTAAGGCTGAAGTTGATGGTCTGTGTCTATTTCAGTCAGTAATGACCCTCCAGTGATTTCTTGCCATCATGAATTTTTGGCAATCAAGTGGTGGCAGGGAGTGTGTAGTTGGAGGCCATCTTTCAAACCCAGAATCAATTTACTCTTTCCCACTGATTCATGTCGATTATTTTCTCCCATCCTGCTGAAATTTTGTTTATGCACTGCTTGTTTAGTTTTTAACCCTCATAACATTACTATCTATCCCAATTAGCTTTTTATGTAGCCCGCATATAAATCAAGAAGGCAGGGAAGTACAACACTACCAAGCCAGGACATATTACTAGAAATATAGACCACAAAGACTGTTTTGCCAAAATGAGTCCATCCTTAACTGGCCTTTGACCATGGGCTTCTGAGGCAAGTGAGATGTGAGGTTTGAATATAGATGCATATTCAAGCCCCAGCTGCAGCTAACTCTGCAGTTAAAGAAAACCAAAGAATTGGAATAGCAAAATGTGTTTTGTATGTTTGGACTGACATATTGTTAGACTTTTAAAGACCAACATAAAGAGAAAACAGACCTCACAGGGAGCAGTTCAAAGTACCAACATGCCAGTACCCTTCAGATGCTGCAGTGGTCAAACTTCATTCATTACTCAGTCTTCTGTAGCCACTGGGTTTGACTGGCCTTGTGTGAGGACATGCAGCGCTGACTTCACTACAGTAACAGTCAGGGCTGGGAAATCAGAGCCTCCCGCCGGGATCTCCAAGTTTAATCAGGACGGCTGAGAAAGGAAAACAACAGGGAGGAGGAGAGTGGAGGGAGAGGGATGAAGTAGGTGGATGAGGAGGAGGAGAAGGAGGAGGGGGAAGTGTAGGGGGAGAGATGTTAAACTGTCAAAGAACTCTTTAAAACGGCGGTCACACGTTGGCTGAGGGCGAAGCTGGCCAAGCTGTCTGTGACCTTTGACTGGAGTGTCTGAGTGCTCACCGTTCTGGCACGCTTGATTGCTGATGCTCTGTGAGACAATTTGATATCGATCCGGGGGATGAGAGAGAGCCAGACCTGTCTGGCATGTTTAATAGTAGTTGCCTGGAGAGTTACAGTCCCCAGTGATATTAAACTTAGCAATCGGCTGATGATGACTCCATAACATATCAGAAGGGGCTGTCTCCCATTGAGGGCCAGTGCTATGCAGAGCAACTATCTGTCACAATAAATGACTTTGCCTGAAACGTCTCCAGAACGCTAACAGAGTGGGCATGAACTCCCAAAAATAAATTTTGTGTGCTGCGGTCATAAATAATGTGAACATTTCCTTCCTCCGCCACTGAAGATTTTGTTACAATAACATGAATTGCACATGTCATTTTCATGTGTTCACCACATGGCTATAAGGTTTCGTGGTTATTAATAAAAACCAATGCTAAAAATGACATCTGCAGTTGCACCAACAAAAATGCTTTGTACAGTTTCAGAATTGAAATAGGATTGAAGGAAAATGCATGTACCCATCCACCATGACCACCACCACAACCTCTGGTTGTGTCCTCAAGTTATTCATCTGTTAGAAAAATCTGCCTCTCACTGTTGTTTCATAGATGATGTAATTTAGCTCATTTTCTCTTGATTATTGGTTAAAGGAGCTGTTGGTAAGTTTTGCTATTGCTAAATAGCCAGCATTAGCATTAACAGCCGTTTACTTACCAGTCTAAAAGAAACATTGTGAGCTCAGCATCAAACTTTATTCCTTTACTCAACAAGAACTGTCTCCAACTGTCTCTATCACATCTTCTACTGAAGTCAGCATGCTAACTAGCTAGCCCCAGCCCGTCTCATCACTTCCCAATAGTGACTTGCTGTAGACCCCAATCTGCCAGAGCGCATGTTATAACCTCTTGTCTTGTAACCGAAACGATGGGCAAAGTTGTCGTCAAGTGACATCTACAACTACAACTATGTTCAGCTGCAGAGACAACATAGAAAACAATAGCCCCTTTAAAGTCCAAAAGATCATAATTTATATCACTGTTCCCTAAAAACCACATTTGTACACAACAAATTTGCACTAGCAAATATGTTTTACAAGAGACGTAATGCTGCCTAGATTACTTTTTGTTTATTATCATAAGTAAACTTTTATATTGAAAGTATCCTTTTTTGTTTTGATAACTCAAAGCATTTTGGTTTGGTCCGAGTTAAAAAGTCAGTGCTGACTCAATAGTATTGACCCTTTCTATAATTAACTAAAACTCCCGTCTCTCTCTCTCTTTTCGTTGCCTCAACCTGACAACATGTGTGGTGCGGGGCATGGATCACAGAGAGACAGTGTGAAGGTCCTGAGCTTTCTAGTCTATCCATTCTGGCCAGTAAATATAATCCAGAAAGCAATAGGACCGTGATTTGTCATAAAACCACAGGATTTATAGTCTGTGCATTTGATAGAGGTATTTTTTAGAGAAAGTTGAATGCTTGTTGTTATCCTGTCTAGGCAAACAGACTTGGGCATATGACAATAAAACGACACGGCCTTGTCTTTGAGCCTATTAAATAACAGCCTAAATGAGCTTGTTTCATTACACTGAGATGGCCTTTGTTCATGCTACAGCGTTTACAATGCCTTTTTCCATTAGGCTGTAATTTGCTGGCAGAGCTGTCAGTTGTATAACACTGCATATCCAACTGAAGATGTAGCTCAGCCTCCCAATCACACAGGTCATCTCAGGGGACGCCTCTTCATATCACTTCTCTGAGTTAAGTGGTCTGGCTTCACTTTCCCGTAGAAGGCCATGTTTTCACCCCCACCTAGCCCACCCATGTGCACAGGCCCAGGTCTTATTAGAAAAATCCGGCTGCAGATATTTGAAGGAGACGTGGATTACCTGCAGATATTCCCACATACCCCCCCACCCCCCGAGCGCCACTAGAGGAAGGTATGCACTGGGCTAGACCTGCCAATGATCACAGAGGCTGCTGTTCCGCTAAAGATTACGAGATTAGGGGGAGAACTGGGGTTATAAGGGTCATAGGCCCAAGGGGGGAACATGTGCAGTTTTTCTACGTATAGCATACATATATGGAGGGCTGAAGATACAGAGTTGCATTGTGCATTCATTAGATTATGATGTAGACAAATAAGCAGTTTAGAGCGGGGATTTAAAAACAGGAAAGAGACTGGGTGGCCTCGTTAGGAATCATGCCTGTTCCAGGTGTAATGTGAAGTGTACATCACCCATTCATTCACAGATGACTGAGAACAGTTGTTAATAGCACACTTATAGGGTAGTGAAGTGGGAGGGGTTATTTTGGTCATTGAGGGCTCCGCAAGTAATAGTCCTATTCATTTTCAGTCGATTTTAGGTGACTGACAGGTGAAGCATTTCTAAGGCTTGTTTTGGCTTGAGGTCCTCCTGTTTGAATGATTGAACATTAGCAACTGGATTAGAAATTATCTGGTTCTTTGATAAAAAGCCAAAGGTACAAGCCTGTATAGATAAAAGCTTGAAGGTAGGAATCGACTACAACTCTCAAGAAGCGTTCTGGTGAGAACAATCTACAATCACAGTTTAAATTTCTGTTGAGTAATTCACTGATGGCAAGTTGAAGCTAAATATTCTAGTTCACAGACGCCTGATGATGCATCCACCAGTTCTCAGCTGAAGCTGATAGGTATTTTAGTATTTAGAGCCATAACATAAACCTATTGTATTATTAAATTACTTTGTCTCTGCTGTAATTAACACGAAACTTTTTTCACTAGACACTTTGAGTTTGAAAAAAAAATGGCCTCACATACAAGGCTAAGCAACATTATGTGGCCTCAAATTATATACCATTTAAGAAGCATCACAATCCCTTTTCTCCTTGTTACCAAATCTGTCCTGACTAGACCAAACGTATTGGTTTATATTGGTTCAAGCCTCTTGTACTGGCAGCTACAAGTGTGGCCAGCTGGCATTCAAGTTTCCACTATGTTATTTTAAGTGGTTTCCATAGTGCTTAACTCTGTGTTTTAATTTGAAATTACGATACGGCTCTTAAACCGGTGAAACAAAACTAGCTGGTCTTGGAATCTCCATTCATTCTTTAATACAGGTCAGATGTTTCCTGAGCCTGCCTCCCTGGGAAAGCTTGTTTCCACTTAGGAGAAGCTGTGCTTTGATGGATATGCTTGAATGAATGAATGTAGCACTATGCAGTTAATCATTGTAGTGGGCAGTGCAATAGCAGCCGGTATGCTTGGCTGAATTAAAACCATCAAAGAAAATGGATGGCTCGAATGTTCAATGAACTCAAAGAGGGCAACAGTTACACTGAGTATATCACTATTGTCAGATGAAAACCACATATATAAAGAGAGGTTTGTCAGGATGGTTAAGATGATTTCTTATTTTCTCAATGGAGTCAATATAGTTTTTCATTTGAACAATAGATTTCTAACGGCTACCATGTGAACATTCAGTGTAAGTAAGAAAAATGAAAATCTGCAGTTAAGTGATTTTTTTCCACGATAGCAGCAGTACAACCCCTCATCCACTGAATACAGGCATGTCTATGTCTCCTGGCAGGAGGAGTTTTTCCCCTCAACATCTCACTCCAGAGTGGGGGGA